ACCTATTAGCTGCATGACCTTGGGCGAGTGACATCACCTGCAATAAGCCTCAGTGAAGACAGTAAAGGTGATAATGTGGGTCTCTCTTGTAGGTGTATGTGATCAGGGTTATTACTCAGATGACATATAGAGGGGGTGCCCTCAGCCCAGTGCCCAGCTAGTAGAAGGTTCTGGGTTCCTGATGAGCGACTTTACCTTAGTTCACTTCAGGCTCTATCGGGAGTTTCTCCTCTTGCCACAGCCAGGAAGTCCCTGGTGACCATTTGGAGCTGCCACCTTCTCCCCTCAGTACCCCCTTGGCACTTGCCTCTATCTCTCTTTTGGGTTCCATCTAATCTCTACATGTCCCTGTGGCCTATATTCCAAGCTGTTTTAGAACACAAGATGTGTGACAAGCAAGAGGGCCTGAAGCCGCTTGAGACCCTTTGAGAGGGAAATTGACTTTTCAGCTTCGTGGCCTTGTCATGGATGCTGGGGCTTTCTTAACTACCCTTCCTACCCCACTTGAGCTGCTTGCTCAGTTCCTGTTTCACAAAGAAACAAGGAAGTGAAGAGATGAGCCAGCCTCAGGGCAAGGGCTGGCTGGGTGGGGGTCTGGGGAGCACCTCCCACTCCCAGCTGTGATGAGCCATGGGGGGCAGGGATGAGCAGGGAGGAAACAGTTGCTATTGAATCTTTCATATTTCTACTTTTTTTTTTTTTTGGTACCAAGAGTGCCCAACCACTGATTTGAGGAAGTGTCCAGGGAGTTGGTAAAATCCACTGCTGACGTAGTTTAGTTGGGTGAAGAGGAGCTGCCCAGCCCTTCTGAGGCTTGAACTCATGAACAGCTGGAGCCAACTGGACTGGCAAATGAGGGAGGACTGACTTGGTTATCATTTTTTCAATGAGCTACTTAGATTCTGTGTTCATGTATGTACCTACCTATCATCTTACCCGTGCCCTTTTCTATTCCAAAAATGATCTGAAGCGTCGAGAAATGTAGCTGTTGCAGGGTGCAGTGGCTCATGCCTGCAATCCCAGCACTTTGGGAGACTGGGGTGGGAGGATTGCTTGAGCCCAGGAGTTCGAGACCAGCCTGGGAAACATAGTGAGACCTCATCTCTAACAACAACAACAAAGTAGCCAGGCATGGTGGTGTGTGCCTGTAGTCCTAGCTACTCGGGAGGCTGAGGCGGGAGGATGGCCTGAGCCCAGGAGGTTGAGGCTGTGGTGAACTGTGAATGTGCCACTGAACTCTATCTAACCTGGGTGACAGAGTGAGACCCCGACTCAAAAAAAAAAGTAAATGCAGCTAAATACTACCATTGTCACAGCTGTGTGACCTCCAACAGGTCTCCTTGGACCTGTTTGAGGCAGTAAGGGCGTGACAAAAGCACACGCTTTGAGAGAAGTCATCACAGAGCCAAGTCAGGGTGCTGGAGATTGAATCCTCACTCTGGCCTCAGTGAGCTGTGTGGCCTTGGGCAAGTCCCTTCCTCTTTCTGGGCTGCTGCTGAAGTTTTCTCATCTGCACACTGAAAGGACTGAAGTAGATTTTTGTTTGTTTGTTTCATCATGGAGCTTCGGTTGAGGATTGGCTATGAAATTTGCAGGGCCTGGTGCAAAATGAAAATGTGGCGCCCCTTGTTAAAAAATTATTAAGAAGTTCAAGACAGTGATGAGAAAAATTATTAAGAAGTTCAAGGCAGTGCAGCCCTTGTGTTTTTGAGGAGCCTCAGTCTTCAGGGAGTGTAGTTGGAAAAACACAAATTAGATGCTCATCCCTAAGCCTTTCTAGTTTTGATTATTTATATATAAAATTTGGCTTCCAAACGTTTTCCTTACCTACCTCCAACGGTGGAACAAACATTGAACTCGTGCTGGGCCGATAATAGCATTATCGTCTCTCGTCTGTGTGGCTTCCTGGGTTAGAGCACTGCTGCATCCGGGTCTTATAGGCTTCTCACCATAACCTCGCCAGGAAGGCAGTATGGGTGGTTTACAGAAGCGTTGACTAAACACAAGAGAGATGAAAGGAGATCAGAGAGCTGTGTGATTCAAGGCCACACAGCGGGCACAACTGGGACTAGAACCCCAAGATCCTAATTCCTAGGAAAGGGAGCTTTTCTTACATGGCTTGCTCCCTAGCGGCAGTGAGCAGGTGAGGAGAGGCTTGGGAAGCCCTGTCCTCCAGCCTAAAAACAAAAAACCAGAGTCCAAGGGGTCAGTGATTTATCATCTTAAATTCCTAGTGATGCCACAAGAGTACCCGTGTCAATCCTGCTGTGTGCGCCCTGAATATCTTCCTGCCAGAGCCACAGTGAAGCCCTTAAAGCAGGAACAGTCATTGCCGGCTATCTGGGTCCCAGGGAAGGAAGAAGCTGGGGTGACTGTGACCTCTCGGCAGCCAGGTTTTAGGGCTGGGGTTCTTAATCCCTGAATGGTGGGTTGGAAGGGTCAGTGAAGGGGAAGAGAAGAGGCAGAGTCCTGGGGCATGTGCTGGGGGTGGGGAGTAGGGTTGCATCAGCTGCCTTGGGCTGGAAGGCAGGTGAGTGGCTCTCAGTCAGGTGCCCAGTGCCCTCTTGCTGCCCATGACTCACCAGAGACCCCAGGAACAAGTGTCAGGGTACAAAGGCAAAAGTCTGCTTCTCATCAGCTATGTGATCCCACCAGATCCTCAGTTTTCTCATCTGTAAAGTGGTGAGACCCATATCACTTGCCCTCTCCTGGAAGAGTGGGTTCTAGAGTCATCTGGCTGGTTTCAATCTTGCTTTTCTCCTTTACCTGATGAAAAAAAGTGACCTCAAGCCATTTGGTTCATTTCTATGGACTTCTCTCAGTTCCCTGACTTGCAAAATGGGAATAATAAAAGTACCTTCTCATAGCTTGTGAGAATTAAATGAGAAAATGCAGGTAAGGCTTTTTGTGTAGTAGTACATAATAAACACTCAACAAAGGGTGGCTCTGATGATGAAGATGATGATGACTTGAATCGTATGATTAGTTGCTGTCTTTGTGGGGTGAACAGCTGAGAGTGTAAATGGCTCAGCAAACAGGCCCATCTTTGGGTGCCACAAACTCTCAGTGAGGGTGGGTCAGAGCTGGGGCCTTAGGATACATGCATCGGTGGCGGGAGCTGTCACCCTCACACTTAGCAAACTAGGCCTGATGGACCCAGGCTGGGGGACTTTGTTTGGTGCCTTTGCCCAGCCTGCATCCAGAACCTTGGTTCTTTCCTTCCACCAGCTGTGGTCTGCTGGGCAAAGGTGCTGGCCCCAACTTTCTTGGACCACATTTGATGGGTCCTCCAGTGTGAGGCTTCCCCTCTGTCCCTGCCACAAGGTTACAATTCCTTTAGCACAGGCTAGAGGGGACTGGCTGGGTGTGGCGTGCATGCGCGTCCACACACGTGCGCGTACATGCTCACGCATGCTCACTCGCACATTCTCAAGCCCATGTGCTCCCCAGTGAGCTTCCGGGAGCCTGACATCCCCGCCCTACCTCACCCTGTCTTCTTCCTCCCCCGCCACAAAAGCCACAGGTAACAGCAGTCTCAGGCAACACAGTAGACACAATGCAAAACCCAGAGGCAGGCGTCTTTGGCAGGCTGTTTTAAGCATCTTAGCAGGATGTGAGCCCAGGTGGCTAACGGCTGATTGGGCCAGAGCAAACTCTTCTCACCACAGCGGGGCTCAGAACATGAGGTCGGGGTTGAGAAGTGGGCTAAGGGACTCTGTGTGGTGCTGAAGGGCAAAAGAGCTGGACTGCTGACCCATCTGGCCCACCAGCTACTAAATGTGTGTATCCTCGGGCAGGTCCCACCCCCTGTCTGGAACTCAGTTTTCCTGTCTGCAAAATGGGGAAACCAGACTCTGCCTGTACAAGGTGAACAGCCATCCAAAGATGCAGGAGAATTTAATAGCTTTGTCACTGTGGCTGTACTTTGGACAGTTCAAAGGGCTCCCTGAACACCAGGGAATCTGGGATCGTGACTCAGTGTGGCTGCCCAGGGTGGTTCCCCAACTTCCGGTAGGGCCATATTCCAGAGTGCCCGCCACAACCCTCCTACCTCATCGTCAAATTCTTGTGGCTTAACTCCCTCTGCTGTCACTTGGCATGGAGCCCACCCAGGGTTTAGGAGTGAAGGGCTCACATGTGGTGGGGGGAAGCTGGTGCATGCCCCTGGCTGGTCCCCAGCTCCAGAGACCCACTCTGCTCCCCCACTACTCTGTTCTCCCTGACGCTGGGTGGCAGCCTGCAACCACAGGGCTCGGCCACTTTCCCTTCCTCTCCCCTGCAGGCAGCCTGTTGGGAGCCCTGTTCCTTCAGCCCCATGGGCTGCAGCCAAGCCGCTGTCTAGGGCAGGTGGCAGGTGGAGGTGGGCAGGGGCAGCCTCAAGGGTATGGGAAGATCAAAAAGTCAGCTGCTGGCTGGGTGTAGTGACTCACACCTGTAATCCCAGCACTTTGGGAGGCTGAGGCAGGAGGATTGCTTGAGCCCAGGAGTTAGAGACAGCCTGGGCAACAAAGTGAGATCCCGTCTCTACAAAAAAATCTAAAATTAGCCGGGTGTGGTGGCATGTGCCTGTAGTCCTAGCTATTCAGGAAACTGAGGCAAGAGGATTGCTTGAGTCCAGGAGATGGAGGCTGCGGTGAGCTGTGTGCATGCCACTGTACTCCAGCCTGGATGGCACAGTGAGACCGCAATTAAAAACAAAAGTCAGCAGCCAGCGTGGATGGGAACAGTTCTGGCTCTATCCAGTAGGTGGTGACAGGGTCAGGCTCCCCAAGGACCGTGGCGCCCCTGAGAGTAGGGACACTACCCTACTGGGCTTTTATTTTGGGGAAGGGGAGCGGCTGTGCCAGGTTACAGGCCTACTGGACTCATGGGAGGGAGGTAAATAGTAGGCTCTTCTATTCCGGAGCCTGGGCTTGGGTTCCCTGGGTGAGGAGTACAAGCCCCAAGAGAGAGCAGAGAGGTGCTGCCTGAGGCCGAGAAACCCTGCGTCCCTGAGGCCTGGTCCAGGAGAAGGAGGCTGAGGACAATGGTTTCCAGGTGACAGGCTGGCAGGGGCTCTTGGGGCGTGTGTGGTGTAGGGTGAGGGCAGCAAGTAAGCCCCACATCTAGGTGGAAAGTGAGCAGGGGAGTTGGAAGCCTCTAGGCCCTCCAGCTGAGGATGGCAAGAATGGAGGCTGCCATCACAGAGGTGCAGGAGGCAGTGCCTGGGGCCCTGGCGGACAGGGGCTCTGTGTGCTTTTGCAGCCACGCGAACTCCTCTGGCAGTTGGCGCCGCTGCAGCTCTGGGCCTATCTTCTCGCGGATGGTCTGGTAGTAGCGATTCAGGTGTTGAAGCTGCAAAGGGTAAGAGAGGTGAGAGCCTCTCCAAACCGAGCTGCCAGGTGAATTCTTGGTGCCATCCAGTCCCTTGCTGTGGGACTCCGACTACCCATCTTAGTCCAGGTGCCCACAGGTCCCCAGCCACCATCAGGCCTCAGGCATTCTCTGGGGCTTTCCAGAGGCAGTTGCCACGATGGCTGTTTAATGTCATAGTGACGTTCATGGGTAGTGGGGTGGGAGGATCTCAGGCCCAGGAATGAGAGTAAGCAGGGCAGGCATTATTATACCCACTTTATAAAAGAGGAGATTGAGGCTCAGAGAGCAGAAGGGATTGTTTATCGTTCCAGGCCTTGTCGTGGCAGAGCTGGAAGACCTAGTCTCAGACTTCCCAAGCATTCACTATCTGGGTTTGGGCAGGCTGGTCTGACTGGAAAGTTCTAGAAATTCTGTGGTTTCTGGTGAGCGGGAGAGGAATACCCCAGGGTATGCTTACAGGTATGACCAGTGTGGGCCCTCCTAGGGCAGGGGCAGAGGGTCTTTGGGGCAGAAGGGAGAAGCCTAAGAAAGACCTGGGGTTGAGGAGAGTGCAGTTGTTCACAGGCACAGTGCTGAGGGGTACTTACCTGCTCAGGGGACAGCAGGTTGACATCGATGAGGTTCCGGTCATAGGGCACCAAGGATACCACTTCAAAGGTCAGGTAGTTCCCTGGGTACTGAGAGCCCACAGGGAAGGTGTGTAAGCAGAAAAGTGAGGGAGGAGGAGGAGCTAGGCTGAAGGGAGGTAGGGAGCACTCCACCCAGATAAGGATCAGTTCCCATGGGCACAGGGAACTGATCCTTATCAACCCTGGACATTCTGGGTAGGTCTGAATCTTCCAAGATCTCTTCTCTTGGGACTCTCCTTGTCTACCACTTAGTACCCACCTTTAGTGCTACCCTCTGGATTCCTGAAATTTAGACTTAGGTTTGTGTTTTTCAAAATGTGGCCTCAATAGCACTTAGGGAGCATGTTAAATATGTGAATTCCAGAGCTCACTTCTCAAACCTACTGGAGGCAGAATCCCTATTTCATTTTATCTTATTTATTTTTTTGAGTCGGAGTCTCACTCTGTCGCCCAGGGTGGAGAGCAGTGGCACGCTCATGGCCACTGTAGCCTCTACCTGCCGGGCTCAAGCGATCCTTCTGCCTCAGTCTTCCAAGTAGCTGGAAGTACAGGCGGGCGCTACCATGCTTGGCTTATTTTGTGATTTATTGTAGAGACAAGGTCTCACCAAGTTGCCCAGGCTGGTCTCGTACCCCCAGGCTCAGGCAGTCCTCTCGCCTCAACCTCCCAAAGTGCTGGGATTACAGGCTGAGCCACTGTGCCCAGTCCATGTAGACGTTTTCTATTTAAATTAGTCAGAGTTGTTAATTTTTTCCTTTGTGGCTTGTAGGTCTTGCATAGAAAGACCCTTTACTATCCTAGGATTCTAAATGAATTTATTATATATGGATCCTTTATGGTTTCATTTCTCACTTTAAAACTTTGGTCCATCTGGAATTTTATTTTGGAGGTTATTCAGTTTAATCCCTCCAAATGATCAGCCATTTGTTCCCCCTGCTCATTTATTGAATAATCTTTCTTTCTCATTGTTTTAAAGCATCAGCTTTATTGTAAACAAAATTCCCATGTCGTTTATGGAGATTAGAGGATTTCTTTCTGGACTAACTGTTCTGTTCTATTGTGACAGCTGTCTGTTTTCATCTCCGGTGTCATACTGTTTTAGTTATAGTAGTTTTTGTTCAAATTGGAGAGGGCTAGTTTCCCTTATTGCTCTCCCCCCCCCCAGAATTTTCCTAGCTACCTAGCTATCTTTGCATGTTTATTCTAACAAATAAACTTTACTATCATTTTGCGAGGTTGCAAAAGTATCCAGTTAGCACTGAAATTGAGGTTGTCTTGAATTTATAGATTAATTTAGGGAGAAATGACATCTTCACAATATTGAGGCTTCTCTCCAGAAAGCATCATTTACTTAAATCTTTTTTATGTCCCTTAGTAGAGAGTTTCTCCATGTAAGTATTTCTAAGTTTATATCTAGGTATTTTATCATATTGACTGCTATTATATAGAATCTTTATTTCTAACAAGCTCCCCTGGCGATTATTATGAGCAGTGAGAACTAATGATTTAGGGCAGGGAAATGGATTCACTTGGTCTGGAGCAGGGCCTGGGCATTGGCATTTTAAAAACCAAGAAGCTCTCCAGTTGATTCTAATGTGCAAACAGGTTTGAGAAACTCTGATTTATGGAATTCCTACAGAGCTAAGGAAGATTCCAGATAAATTCATGCCCGCACGTGAAATGTCCTTTTTTGATCTTTCTCACCCTCTCAGTGCAGCCCAAATCATTGCCATGCTGCCCATACCTCCAACCCATCTCGGTGGCACTCTACCTTGGTCTTTGCATCTACCACGAGGGCCACATCTTCTAGACGGATCCCAAATTCTCCATCCTCATAATAACCAGGCTCTGGGAGACACAGAGATACCGGTGGCATTCAGTGTGGGGCAGGGGAGGACCAAGCCCAGTCTTCCTGTACCAGTTGATGAGAGGCTGGAGGGCCCAACCACCTGGCTGCTCCCTGGCTGTTGACTCTGGCAGCCCATGACTTGTTAGAAGCTCATTGACTGAGCAGAGAAAACCCATCCCTATTGGGCCTCAGGTCCCCACAGGCACCTCTGACTCACCCACCCTCCTCTGTAGCCCAGTAGGGAGTCCTGAAGGTGCTCCCATCTCTCTGTATGCCACTGTCCTATAACCCCAGCATTTGATCGGTGACTTGAGTCTGGATGTACAGCTGGGAACCAACTCCCAAGGGCAAAAAGAGGGTCTGGACTGAGGGGACTTGGGCTTAGGATGGAACAAGCCATTTGGGGCTGGGCACAGGGGTGGGAGTGGTGAGGTGAGCCCAGGACCCGGTGTGCTCCCTGAAGGCTGTTGCACCCTAGACTGCAGACCTGGGTTTTGCTCTGCTCTGCAATGGGGTGGTGGGGAAGAGGGGCCTGAGAGCCGTACCAATGGAAGTGAACATGCCCTTGGTTATGCCAATGCTGTTGTAGTGGAATCCCACTGGCACTGGAAAGGAAGACACAGGCACGGTGTCAGCTTTCCTATACTCACCAGCTTGGACTTCAGCAGGCTTGTGAGGAGAGCAGGCGACTGGGATTCCCGGGACTCTAGCAGTATGTGTCCTCTGTGTCATTGTCTGCCTGGGGCTGGCACACACCAGATGGGCTCTGGATTTTATATCTCTGGGGTTTATCCAAGTTAGCCCCTAGGCCTTGGGCCTCTTTCTGGTGCCTTTCTGAAGGATGCCAAGCAGCTGGCAGAATCAGCCCGCTGCCAGCATTCCTCACTTACCCTATGGGGCTGGGTGACCTTCGGAGGGTCATAGCATCTCTGTGGATCTTGGTCATTTTCATACCTTGGTCATTTCATACCTCCTTCATAGTGGGGTATCACACAAGGGGGGACCCCTGGAGAGTGCTGAAGAGACACTTACACTCATGGACACACAGGAAGTTGCCAATGCCGTGGCCTGTCCCGTGACCATAATTGAGCCCAACGTCCCACAGGGCTCTGCGAGCAAAGGCCTCCACCATTCCCCCTGGAAGGGAAGAGAGGTCACCCATAGTCAGTTGGCTGTACCCCAGACAGACTTCCACCTTGCCTCTTCGTACTTAGCCACCAGGGTGATGCCTAAGGAGAGGGCCATTAAGCATGCAATGACACAATGACATTGGGCTGGGATGGAGAGGGGCTGATGGGTGGTTAGTGGCTCCCTGGCCAGACCAGCTTACCATACATTGTACCCATTACATGGATTGATGACTCTGCTACAATTTCTCTGCATCCGTCAAGGCATAGCACGTTGACACCTACTTCCTTTGGGAATCCTCCCTTGACTGCTGCAGCCCACCCTGATCTCCCCTTCTTCTGAGTGACAGCATTAGATTAGGAGGCAGAAGACCTGGGTTCAAAGTCTGGCTCTCCCACTAACCATCTGTGTGACCTTGGGCAAGTCACTTTCTCTCCTTAGGCTGGATTTTCTTGTCTATCCAAGGGATGGGCTGATGATGTAATCCCTGTCCCACTAGCCTCCCAGGGAATGGTCTGAGTCCTGTGAAATCAGGGCCTGAGTCTCTGGGTTCAGCCTGATCTCAGACCCACCTGATGTAGTAGCAGGAAAGACGAGTCTGGACAGGTCGATATTTCCCATCAGCACGCGAGTATATGCCTCCTGAGGGGAGAGGAAGAGACCAGGTGGACAAGAGCAGGAGCTGGGGAACTACCAGCTGTTCAGCCTGTGGGTGCCTGGGTGTGGGGGCCCAGGCCTGTGTGTGTGTTGGTGGGTGGGGAGAGTTGCTCTCATGTGTCGTCACCCAGGTTCTAGCAGATGGCCAAAGGAGGCTGAGGGGGCCTCCCAAAGCTGGGGTTCGGTCATGTGCTTCCCTACAGGGAGAGGTGGAGGATGTGTAGAGGAGACACTCGTGGGTGGCAGTGAGCTGAGGCTGTGACTCCCTGGGCTGGAATCCTGACTTGGCCACTCATACCCTCTGAGACCTTGGACAGGCAACTTTAACTGCTCTGTGCCTCAGTTTCCTCATCTACTATGGGATGATAACAGGACCTAGCTTCTGAGGTGGGGAGGAGTAGGCTAATATATGGAAAGGGCTGCAAAAAGAGTGAATGCTCCAGGAAAGATTAGCACTCTTATGACAATGACTGTGATCACCGTTTAGTTTTCTTTCTTTAAATAAAAACAATTAAATAATTTTTTGGTTTTGTTTTCGTTTTTTGAGTTGTAGTCTCACTCTGTTACCCAGGCTGGAGTGCAGTGGCACACTCATGACACTCCAGCATCGAGCTGCTGGGCTCTGGCGATCCTTCTGCCTCAGCCTTCCAAGTAGCTGGAACTAGAGGCATGTGCTGCCACACTTGGCTAATTTTTGATTTATTGTAGAGATGAGGTCTTGCCAAGTTGTCCGGGCTGGTCTTAAACCCACGGGCTCAGGCAGTCTGCTCGCCTTGGCCTCCCAAGTGCTGGGATTGCAGGCTGAGCCACCGAGCCCGGCCAACGATTTTTAAATTAAGTAATTAAAACAATCTTTGGGAGGTAGAGACAGGATCTTGCTATGTTGCCCAGGCTGGCCTCAAACTCCCGGCTTCAAGCAATCCTCCTGCCTTGACCTCCCAAAGTGCTGGGATTACAGGCGTGAGCCACTGTACCCGGCTCACCCTTTGGTTTTCTTTAGGCCTTCAGTTTGGGTCGTGGCCTGGTAATTTGGCTGGTCAGCCTTCCTCTGTCAGGGGAGGGAGGGGGGCTGACGGTGGCCTCTTCTGGTCACTTCCAGAGACAACGTGCTCAATCCCTCTCACCACACATGTGCATGGGCTTGGCATCTCATGCACGATAGCCTGAGGCAGCAGACTCCCCCACTATACTGTGAGCTCCTGGAAGCCTGGACAGCGTTTTTCCTCCTTTCTCTCTGTTTCCAGCACAATGTCTGACCCATAGTCAGCTTGCTGGATGCACAAATGCAGCTCCCTGCTCTACCCTCAGAGGCCCCTGGTGCACAGAGAAAATGCCCCAGCCTTGGCCCCAGTGGACCAGCCCTCATTGTCTCACTGAACACCTCCGGTTCCTTTCCACCTCTGAGACTTTGCTCGCGCCATTTTCCTTCACTCAGAATGGCTTTCTCTCTCTTTTCTGCTGAGCACAGGGCCAGGAACACAGGCAGCAGCAAAGCGATATGCAATATTTGTGCGCTGGCTTGCTGAGCTAGAATGACGATCACCTTGGGTGGAGGCCTTGGTGGGGGCCTTGGTGGGGGCTTGACATGGCTCTGGGGAAGCCGCAGGGCGCACTGGGTTTTCTGGCACTGACTGTGACCTTGGGCAGACGGACTCAACAACCTCTCTGGGCCTGTTTCAGTCTCTAAAATGAAAGGGTTCTTGGTGGAGGGATTGCTTGGCTGCCCTTTGGGGAAGGGTGGGGAGGGGAAATCGGGCCCAATGCGTACCTTCTGGAAAGCAGAGGGGGTGCCCCAGTGGACTGTTCTGGTGATGTCTGTGGTCCCATCCCTGTGGAGAAGGGAAACCAACATGTCCAGCTCTGCTGAATGCTTGGGGCTAGGGACCGGGCCGTGTGCATCCTGTGTGTTTTCCACTGAATTCGAGCAGTGGGGCTGGGATGGGGCAGGTGGAGGTGAAAGGACAGCTACCATCCTCAAAACCCCATCTTTAGCATCTATGCATGAAGCAACTCTGCAAAGCTATCAAGTTCAAAGGCACTACGTTGTCTGACAATTGTGACCCCTCCCACACACTCCTTCCCCATACCACCATTTTGGCTGTTTTGTAGATGGGGGTCTTCTTGGATCAGGCTGACTCTAAAAGCAAGTCTTCTAGGCTTCCTGGGAGGCAGAAAGGGATTGGCCCCTTTGTACAGATGGGGAAACTGAGGTCCAGAGAGATGATATCATCACATTTCCATATTCAGATAATTATTTAACATGTATCGGGTTTTGCCACTCATTATGAGAAGGCCTCATTATCCCCATTTCACAGATGAGGCAACTGAGGCTGTGGGGCTGGTTCCCTCTTGGAACTTCAGTGAAGCCAGGCCGGGAGCAAGCACTGACTCTCCACACAGTTCCCTCTGTTGTGAACATAGATCTGACCCAGTGATTTACTCAAAGTTCCAGTGAGGTGAAGCCAGAGGCCAGAAGGTCTGACTCCCAATCACCAGCTTCAGTGGTTTCCCCCAGGACGGACCCAGCGGTCACCTCAGGGAAGAGAGAGGGGAGAAACGATCCCAAGGACCTGGGGGCTCCTCCTTGGGAACAGGTCATGGGGTGTGAAGGAGAGAAGGGGAAGTGAGGCGACCACTTCCCTGGCCTCACCCTACTCCGAGCACATCCCATCCCAGCAACGGCCCCACAAATTCACTTCCCCTCTGCGCATTGGCCATCTCAAGTACACACAAGCTGAGTGCCTGCTGTGATGCTGGTTCCCGGGAGCTGTGCTAAGAACAGTGAAGAGGCCCTGTCATTAGCACATTCAACATTTCCACAGGATAGAGACTGGAGAGCCATTAGTTCAGTACCCCCTTTCTTTTGTCCCACCCCAAGCTTCCCACATTCCACTTGCTTCTTAGACAAGAAGGGAAAATCTTTCAGGTCATCTCAGTTCAGCTCCACTCCAGTGTGAATGATTGGTCACACATTTGGTAGGAATTGAGTTAGCCTGTTCTGCACGGCCGTCATGTCCGAGTGTTCGGGTTGTGCACTGTACAATGGTAACACATCTAAAGTGTTGATTCTCTCACCTGCCCTCACCTGCACCCAGACAGAGCTGCCTTACCCATGTTGTGGGGAAGAGAGAAGCTGAGGAGTATTCCCAGTGTTGGTGGTGTGTGGGCTGTTTCCAGGGTATGCACGAGTGGGTGAGAATATGGTCGTATGTGTTTGTGCAGCCAGGCAGGGCTGCTGAGTATACTTGTTCAGACTGTGTAATAATATGTGAACTTAAAAAAAATTTTACTTATGCAAGAGGAGTCTTTTCATAATTCTCACAGAGGTGCTGCCTGGGTACTCCCACTATTCTAGCCTCTGTGTGTTTCCCACTGTGTAGGGATCCCCATGTGTGAACACAGGAAGGATGCTCAGGGCTCATGGCATCCAGGTCTCCCCTTTCTCAGATGAAGACCCCGTGGCCCGGCAAGGAAAAGCTTTGGCAGGCTCTTGGCTGGTCCAGGATGTCTGAGCTGAGACAGCCAGCCCAGGTCGGGGTGAGGAGTACATACCAGTATTGGCCCCCAGAATCCAGCAGGTATATTTCATCTGAGGATAGCTTGCGGTTCAGCTCCTTGGTTGGGCTGAGAAGGGGAAAGAACACTGAGAGACAGTAACCTAACCCTGTCCTGGGCAGTGTGGGGTTCCTGAGTGAAAGCAGAGGAACCCCTGCCCCCTGTAGGGATGAGGCTTCCAGGCCAGTCCTTCTGGGGAAGTCATTGTCTCCCAAAAGGCCCCCGAGAAAGAACTCCGCCTCAGCTGCTGCTGTCCTCAGCACACATCTGTTTATCCTGTACCTGGGCCAGACCCTGGTCCTCTGGGAGGGGAGAAAGAGCCCAGAATGTGGGAGCTGGGAGAGCCCTAGAGACCACCCAGCCCAGCCATCTCCTTTTACATAAGGATAAACAGGTCTACAGTGGCCAAGGGGCTTGTGCAAGGCCATGGTAAAGCAGTGAGGCGCTGGGCCTGCACCTGGATGCTCCATTCAGCACTCTGTCTCTAACTTCCTGCTGCCTCTGAGAGCCGAGGGCCCCCAGAAGCCAGGGCACAGGAAGGGAGGGAACTTTGAGGGTGGGCTGGAAGGCAAGAGGTGGTAAGGCTGAGGAGTACCTACCCTGTCACTCTCTAGCCCAAGTGAGGAGTCATGGGGACAAGATAGCTGAAGGTGTGGGAAACACTAGGGGACACCAAGGAGGGAATTCTGGGATGTGCCAGTCCCTCGGTGGGTAACGACCTCTCCCTGCTGTGCCCATGACTGGCTGAGGCATCTAGTTAGCTTGGCCACCCAAATTTCATCAGACAGGCCTGCAGGTTTTCTATGGGGCCAAACATCTGACTAATCTATATCTTGGGCCCACCTTGGCTGGTTCAGGCTGAGTGAATGGGCCTTTTTCTTTTTTTTTTTTTTTTTTGAGTTGGAGTCTCACTCTGTCACCCAGACTGGAGTGCAGTGGCCGCTCCCGGCCACCGCAGCCTTGACCTGCTGGGCTCCGGTGATCCTTCCACCTCAGCCTTCCAAGTAGCTGGAACTACAGGTGCGCGCTACCACACTCGGCTAATTTTTTGATTTATTGCAGAGATGAGGTCTCACCAAGTTGCCCAGGCGGGTCTCGAACCCGCGGGTTCAGGCAATCCACTCACCTCGGCCTCCCAAAGTGCTGGGATTACAGGCTGAGCCACCGAGCCCAGCTAATGGGCCTTTTTCTACGTGAGCTCATGAGCTTTGAGAATTGGCTGACATAAATAGCTCACAGGAAGCCAAGGAAAAGCATCCAACAGCCTCCATTCCTCCCTTCCAGGTCCCTCAGCCTTGAGCACCCACAAAGTCCTAGCCTCTTGGGGGAAAAATATCATTCAGGTTTTTTTTTTAATTTTTTTGAGTCGGAGTCTCACTCTGTAGTCCAGATTGGAGTGCAGAGGCATGATCATGGCTCACTGCCGCTTTGACCTCCTGGGTTCAGGCCATCCTTCCACCTCAACCTCCTGAGTAGCTGGAACTACAGGTGTATGCCACTATGTCTGGCTAGTTGTGTTCCTTTTTTACAGAGATGAGGTCTTGCTATGTTGTCTGGGCTGGCCTTGAACTCCTGGGCTCAAGCAATCCTCCCACCTCAGCCTCCCAAAGTGCTGGGATTACAGGTGTGAGCCACCACACCCAGTCACTCAGGCCCTTTAAAGTCAGGGAGACTCTCAACCCCAGACTGAGCGCCTCCCCCCAACCCCCACAGGACTTAGGACCTCAAACCTTAAATGTGCCCACATTTAATACCATTTCCCCCTACTTTGTCCCTCTGTACACATAAGATTCCCCCAGAGAGCCGTAGAACATTCTTTTTCTTGAAGTACCTGTAGTGGGCCAGGGCAGCATTCAGGCCACTGGCAGAGATGGTTTGGAAACTGGGTCCAGAGGAGAACTGTTCTTCTCTGGAAAGCGCAAGCAAGGAATGGTCAATGAATGGGCCCAGAGACTAGGCTGGGCCCCAGATATCTAACCAGGTCTTATGAAGGTCACTGCTCCCTCCCTCAGCCAGACTCTGCTGGTTCTCTTAGTCCCTACTCCAGGTTCTGCCTCCCCAAGCCCTGCCCTGTCACTTATAGAGTACTGAAAGTCAGAGAATGATGGACTATAGACACCAATTATTCCCCCTCCACCTCCATTTTACAGATAGAAGTGACGAAACCTACTTCCCCATATCTGAAAACTCTCCCAGCCCCGGAAACGCAGCCTGTGCCTCAGACCTGTAGTCTGGCCCTGACGTGGGGCCAAGCAGGCCCCTAGGGAGAGCGAGCCCGTACCTGAAGCAGACACTAGGGGGTGCTTTTGGGTTGTGACCCTTCACATTGTCCCGTTTTCAGCGGGGCTGGAGAATGACATCCAATACCCTGTGCCCGGCGCTCTGACTACCCGAGAACCTGTCACTCCTTGTTCCAGAAAAGCCTCCCAGTAAAGGCAGGTTCTTTCTTCCCCCAAGTAAGGGGAATAGTCCCCCTTCTTGCTCCCACCCCCACACTAAGAGATAGCCAAAAAGGACAACCGCGGGACTTCACCCTCGGAGCTGGTCCACGCGCTCTGCCCCCGAGAACTCATTCACTGTGCCTTTGGGCACGTTCTTCTCCAGCCAGACCAAGTACCGGATGACAGCCACAGCGTCCCGCACCTGGGGGAGGGGGTAGCAGGCAGACATGGGGTCGTAGCCACAGGCTCCGGGATGCAGGAGACCAGATGGCTGCTCCGGGATCTGAAGCCTTAAGAACACTGGCCATTTGATATCAAAGGATTCTCCTGAGTGTTTATGGATGATCATAGTGTGCTCTGGTTTTTGAAAGGGTTCTTGTCTTTTTGAAATACTTACTGACGTGTTGATGGCAGAAATATTATGCTATCTGAGATATACTTTAAAATAATCCAGCAGCAGAAGGGATGGGAGGAGGTAAGAATGTGGGTTATAGACGAAACAAGATTGGCCATGACTTGATGGTTGTTAAAGCTGAGTAACAGGGACACAGGGGATTATTCTGTTATTTTCTCTACTTTTGTGTATGTTTAAAATTTTCCATAAGAAAAAAAACTTTTAATGAGGTGATTTATCCTTATTTTAACAAGACTATTAAAAAATTGAGATATCCTCTTGCAGGGTGAGGAAATCATTGCAGCTAACACTTTTTTGACACCTAGAATGTGCCAGGCAGTCAAAGCAAAATATTTATATATATTCATTGAATCCTTACAACAGCCCTATGCTATAAGGTCACTGTTGTGAACCTCATTTTACAGGTGAAGCAACTGAGGCAGAGAGAGGTAAATGCCCTGCCCAAGGTCACCCAGCTAAGATATGGGTAGAACTGAGGTTTGAATTCAAGACATCCAAGCTCTGAAAGGCTTTTTTTTTTTTTTTTTTTGAGTAGAGTCTCACACTGTTGCCCTGGCTGGAGTGCAGGAGCATGCTCATGGCCACAGAAGCCTTGACCTGCTGGGCTCAGGTGATCCTCCCGCCTCAGCCTTCCAAGTAGTTGGAACCACAGGCATGCGTCACCATGCCTAGCTGATTTTTTGATTTATTGTTAAGACGAGGGCTTTCCATGTTGCTCAGGCTGGTCTTGAACCCCTAAGCTCAGGTAATCCTCTCGCCTCCAACTCCCAAAGTGCTGGGATTACAGGCGTGAGCCACTGTACCCAGCGTCATTTTTTTTTTTTTTGAGTCAGGGTTTCACTTTGTCTCCCACACTGGAGTCCAGTGGCACAATCATGGCTCACTGCAGCCCTGACCTCCTGGGTTCAAATGATTCTCTTGCTTTAGCCTCCCAAGTAGCTGGGACTACAGGTGCGCACCACCAGCTCATTTTTTATTTTTGTAGAGATAAGGTCTTGCTATATTGCCCAGGCTGATCTCAAACTCCTGAGATCAAGCAGTCCTTTCGTCTCGGCCTCCTGAAGTGGTGGGATTATAGACATGAGCCACCACAACCAGCTTGGCTTTGTTTTTTTCTAACCCATCAGATCAGGAGCTTCCCAAAGGCCAGGTCTGCCTCAACGTGGACTTACGTGGCTAGCCTTGAGGAGGGCCTGCTCCTTGCTGTTCTTTACCGCCTTGGTCATCATTACTGGGGAGTAGTAGTCTGCCACAAGTTTCTCCTGTTGAGGGCAGGGAGGAAAAATGAGGTGGGGGGCCATCCCCTCAGGGCATGGTAATGTTTTCAAAGGACTGGCAGGAAGACCCAGCTGAGGTGAGACTTGCCACCCTGTCATGGCAATGCCCTCTACTTTGTGTGATTTCTGGCTATGCAAGTCTTTTCTAGTCTTCCATGTCCAGCTTGACTCTTTTCCCCTCCAGGATGGCTTCCTTGATTAATGCTGCCCTGCTTGGCAGCTCACTCCCTGCAGATAGATTCCACCAGCACTCTGCGACCCATCAGAGGCCAGCCTGAGTCAATCTAGTTTCTTGTACATATCATACCAGCTACTGTTTATCGAGTGCCTACCATGTGTCAGCTGCTGGGCTTTACATGCCCTGTCACCTTTAAATCTCCACTGAACAACTTCTATGAGGTCAGGACTCTTATTGCCACTTTCCAAATGAGGAAGCAGACCCATATTGGCTAAGTTGCTTGTCCAAAGCCATTGCACAGCCAGTTAGGGCAGAGCTGGGATTAGGTGCTGGGTTTGGTTGACTCCAAAGCCTCTGCTACACCAGGCCATATTCTCTTTAGCCTCCTTGATAGTATTTTGCTTTTGTTTTTTGAGGCGGGGATCTCGCTCTGTTGCCCAGGCTGGAGTGCATTGGCATGATCACGGCTCACAGCAGCCTTGACCTCCTGGGCTCAGGCAATCCTTCTGCTTCAGCCTCCCTAGTAGCTGGAACTACAGGCATGTGCCACTATGCTGGATAATTTTTTGAGTTTTTGTAGAGACTCAGTCTTGCTATGTTGCCCAGGTTGGTCTCAAACTCCTGGGCTCAAGCAGTCCTCTCACTTCCGCCTCCCAAAGTGCTGGAATTACAGGCATGAGCCACCGCTCCCGGCCCTCCCTGACAATTTTATGAGTGCTCTATGGACAGACATTCTTGTTTCTTCTTCTTCTATCTCTTCCCAGTGAGGGATAGAAGAGAACTCACTGCACAGTTGTTGATGGCCCAGGTGACTGAATGGCTGAGGGACTTTGGCCCCACATTAGGTTGAGACATATCAGACCTGGGAAAGTGGAGGGTGGGGATGGGTCGGTGCCTGGTATGAGCTGGGGCCTGATAAACCCACCTCAGGTATCACTTCATAGAGTCCATACGTGGTGTATCTGGTCCCGATCCAGATCCTCACGTCTCCTGCGGCGTAGGCCTGGATGCTGTCACGAACTTGGCCGTAATCCTCGAGCTGCACACACATGGGGCCTGTGCAACTGGAATTCAGGTACCTCAGGGTCTCAGCACTAAAGCGACTCTTGTTTGTAAATAACCTGAATGGGAAAGGAAGACCAAGAGGATCCTGAGCGTCTGCCGAGGACAACGCAAAGGACCAGAGGCAGACACAGTCCCTTTGTTCCCGGAAGTCAGAGGAAGCCAGCACCAGGGAGCCTAGCTGACCAGATCTGGAATTCAGTGGGAACAGAGGTCAAAGGGTCAGGCAAAAGTCAACAGGAGGATTCCTAGGGGGTTCTGCTGGGGCAAGCCCCAAGTCCATGGGCAGCCTGAAGGCTGTATATTAAGGTGGGCTCAGTGGTAGGGCAGGGAGAGGGTACAGGTTGGAGGAAGCCCACGGCAACAAGCCAAGGAAAGGCCATACCTGATGGAGGAGTCTGTGAGCAACACGTAGGAACGGAAGAAGGGGTTGTAGGGAATGTCATAACTGCGAAGGTTGAAGAGCCCTGGGAAGAGAATTGATGGGGCCTATTTGAAGCTGAGCTACCTGAGACAAGCATCTTTTTTTTTTTTTGAGTTGGAGTCTCACTCCATCGCCCAGGCTGGAGTGCAGTGGCATGCTCATGGCCACCCCAGCATCGACTTGCTGGGCTCTGGCGATCCTTCCGCTTAGCCTTCCAAGTAACTGGAACTACAGGCATGCGCTACCTTGCCCGGCTAACTTTTTATTTCTTTATTGCAGAGACGAGGTCTTGCCAGGTTGCCTGGGCTGGTCTCGAACCCGTGGGCTCATGCAATCCACTCACCTCAGCCTCCCAAAGTGCTGGTATTACAGGCTGAGTCACTGACCCCGGCTGAGACAAACATTTTTGACACCTTTGCCCCACTGTTCCCTTTGGTCCCAAAGGATTCCCAACAACACGCTTGCATCTGCCTCTGCATGTTTCTCAATCTTTGGAGGGGGGCTTCGAAATGCTGATGAGAGCTATGAACCTCTTCCCCCAGAAAGATGCAGACACCAGCGCTCAGCACACAGTTCCAGTGAATTCCCAGAATATCTGACACCCAGTCATGGGGATCAGGCAAGAGGCTCTGAGCCATGTCAGGACAGAGTAGGGTCACATGAGTGTGAAGCTGGGTGTGTGAGTGAGCTGGGATAGTGGCCAGGTTGTTGGGAGGCATTTGCTGGCCCTCCTTCTCTTAATGAGACACAAGTAGTTTGCTGCCGTGGTCGGGCTGTTCCTCCACTGGCCGGTGGGCTGACAGTGGCTTCTTCTGGTATCCTTGTTCTGCAGACCTGGGCTTCTAGCTCCTTACCCTTCTTAGATCCCACAGGTTATGACCACAGAGCTCTCAGAAACTGGTGGGTACACGGTCGTTGGGGAAGAGATCTATGCTGCAGGGCCCAGGAGGCTTTGAGGACTGGGGAGACCCAGGTGCCCCCCCCCACCAAGTCTGCAAATCCACACTCACAGGCTGTCTCATCAAGCGCTGACAAAAGGACAGCAGTCGGGGCTTCTTGATGCTTCTGCATCTGGCTTCGAATGTCAGACACTTTCTCCTGCCAAGTGCTCCCTAGAGGCAAGGGAGCCCAAAGAAAGCGTAAGTGACACACCTTGACTTTGGCATTTGGTTCCTGGAAGGGCATTCTTTGGGGAATAACAGTTTTTCTTTCCTTTTTTTTTTTAAGCAGCAGAACCCTTCCTGCAAACAACTCTTACTTGCGTAGTCATTAATGACATGGGCTCTGGACCCAGTTTGGGCTCAAATCCTAGCTTTGCTTACTAGCTGGGTGACCTTGGGCAAATGACTTAACCTTTCTGTGTCTCATTTTGTGCATCTGTAAAATGGGGGTGGAGTATAATAGTAGTTATCAATAGGGTTACTATGAAGATCGAATGAGTTACTATTTGTAAAGCATATAGAATGGTGTCTTGGTATATAGTAAGTTTGGTATAACTTTCTGATTGAAAAATAAGCATGCAGAACAGAGATCAGGAGGGCAGCCCTAGTTGAAGGGCAAAGGAAAAGAGCTGAGACCACATTTAAGCCTCTTCCTGATACTGATTCCAGTACTTACTAAGCCACAAGTACTGAGCTAAGCACTTTGTGTACATTGTTTTAATTCTTACTTGTCCCATTTTGCAGATTTGGAAACTGAGGCTTCAGAGACATAAAGTGACTTGACTAAGGTTTAATAGATGCAAGGGTTGGAGCTGGGATTTGAACCCAGGTCTGTCTGATGGATGGCCTATACTATTCACTGTACAGATACTGTATTGTCTTGCTAGCTTTGTCAGTCTCCAAACCTGTCCTTAAACTCTGTGTCACAGCACTGTTCTCTCTAGGATGCTTATATCCGGGTTCTAGGACTTTAGTTTTTGTGTTCTATCCCTGCCACCTGCAAGGCATCCAAGGAGTCTGGTCCTGGGTAGGATTAGGAATTTGCTAGCAGAAGGTCATGAGCATTAAGGGGCCTATTGGGCCCAGATATGGGTATAAATAACTTACTGCCATTAAAAAAATGCTCTATGCCTCAGCCTGGACAGCATAGCAAGACCACGTCTCTACAAAAAGTAAAAAACATAAGCCAGGCATGGTGGCATGCATCTGTAGTCCCAGCTACTCAGGAGGCTTATGGGGAAGGATTGTCTGAGCCCAGAAGGTCTAGGCTGCAGTGAGCCATGATCATGCCACTGCTCTCCAGATGGGTACAGAGGTACGCCCTCGACTTAAAAAAACAACTTTATGTAAACAGATAAAACTATGCAACAGGAACCAAAGCTTTGGATGTAATACGTTTTTTAAGGTTTATTTTATTTTAAAATACACATAAAAATTTTTATCATTTTAAGCTTTTTAAAGTGCACAATTCAATATTATGCAGCCATAAGGAAGGACAAACATATGGACTTTGCAGCAACTTGGATGGATTGAGAGTTGATCATCCTCAGTGATCCATCACAGAAGCAAAGAACAGAGTATCATATGTTCTCACTCATAAATGGACCTTGAACAATTATCATAAGACTATAAGAAAGGGATTGGCAGTAGTGGGAAACTGCCAGGGAAGGGGAGGTGGTATTAGCAGTTGAGGGAAACTACTAGGGAGGGAGGGGCACACCTCATCAGCAAGGGTACCTGCATAATGAACATTTGTATATGTAACCCTGAATTGTACCCCATATCTTTAAAAATTTTTAAAAAGGTGTCTATAAAAAAAGAGAAATTCCTAATTCTACAAAGTAAAGTTTAGCAATCTTTTCTTTAAAAAAAATTTAACAAGTGCACAATTCAGTGGCTTTGAGTACACTCACAGTGTTGTGCAACCATCACTACTATCTAATACTAAAACATTTTCATCATCCCAAAAGGAAACCTTGTACTCATTAAGGAGTCACCCTCCACCTCCCTCCCCACCCAGCCCCAGGAAACCACTCATCTATTTTTTGTCTCCATAGATTTGCCAGTGTTGGATACTTCATATAAATGGAATTGTCCAATATGTGGCCTTCCCTGACTGGCTTCTTTCATTTGGAATTGTGCTTTCAAGGTTAATGAATGGGATACATGTTTGAGAAAACAAATGAAACCAAATGCAAATGGTCTGGTGCACACTTGTATCTCTGAGTAGCTAACTTCCCATACTTTCCTTCGCACTTCATTCGCCTTTAAAACCTGCAGGTGGTGGGAAAGAGAATCTCTTCAAGCTTTTTGAAGCTCAAGTCCAAGCTCCAGATGACTTTTTCTTGAAGACTAACAGCCTGCAATGGCTTGGCATCCCTTCCCTTTTGGGAAGTGACAAAACCCATGCAAATTTGCTCCAAATCCTCAGAAGTGTTTTTTCCTTTTATCTCCAGGCATAACTGTGACCTTCTTTATTTGAATGAGTTTTATTTATGATTTAACAGTCTTGGACAGCAAGTTTCTTTAAAAACGGTGTCAAGATGCAGAAAGAATGATTCTGCAAGTTACATCAGAACAGATAAAGAAAATTGGACACAATTTGCACTTGTTTCACCATAGCTGCTATTTTGAAATTTCCCTCCTGCTTTTTGGACTCCTTTCCAAAACAAGAAATGTGCGTGGACTCGCATATGGAATGAGATCTGGTGGATTGACCAATATTTCTAGGAATCCAAGTCCATTGGTTCATTCAGAATTCCCGGGGAGATAGGGATGGTTGATGGCCAAGACACTGATTCATAACCAGTAACGTGGTCCTGGTCAGGATTTTAGTTATGACTTACAAGAATCATATGGCATGCTGTTCTTTTATGACGTACCTAGATGGTGTCAAGGTAATTGATTTCAGAATTTTCAGGATCAGTTAACTTGTGTATGTGGTCCAGCAAAACCTGAACCCTAATCTATGCCACAGACTGATCCCGAACTTAGTTATTTACTTCTTCTGTCCACCCCTGGCCCATTCTACCCAAACCATCTCACAAATCTAAATTTCCCATCACAGGAGGACCAGAAGGAAAGGTTGAATGATTCCATATGACCCAGTCCCCACTCCCAGACAAGCATGTTTTTTCTATCTTGAAAAGGGTAGATTTTCCCCTCATCTTTCTCTGGCTCCCTTGTTTCTTCCCTCCCTGATCCATCTTACTTCAAATGTGAACACTCTTTAATTCAGCATTTTCTAAATATGGTCTGAAGGCCTTTTGACTCAGATTCCTTGAGGAGAGGAAGCCTAGAAATCAGTATTTTATATGTGTCCCAGGTGACATGGGTGCATGCTAAGATGTGCAAACCATTGTTTTGGTAGCCCTGGTGATGAAGTTTTCAGCCTAAAGAGTGGCAGTGGGCACCCTGTTGCTACAAGTTAGGAAGGCGACAAGGCTTGCTCACTCACCTATGAATGCCTCCTGCAGGGCATAAATGGGTTGGCTTGGAAGTGGTGGCCTCTCTGATCCCCACACCAGGTCCACAAGGTTGGTTGTGATGGACACCAGCACTCTGTTAGAGCCTTCGAGAGCCACCTCATAGCTATCCCAGGTGTCTGCAGAGACAGGAAGGAGTTACATCTCGCTTGCCCGTTTATACCTAAGGAAAAATTGTGATAGAAGCAGTCCTGGTTCCCTTTGCCTCGTGTTCTTCTCTTATAGCTCAACTGCCCTGAGCCGTGCCCCGTGTTGGGGTGTGCCTCTAACCCTCCTCTTTCTGCTTTCCAAGCTTAACTACCCTGAGCCCACCCAATGCAGACCACCACCAATTGGCTAAACTTGGCTTTTTCGGTGCCAATGGCTGTGGGCGGTCCCTCTTTTGGGTACTAACCATTTTAACACGGCTTCAATGTCACAGTCCAAAGGAATGGTGGCATCCAGGCCATTGGACAGGCTGGCGAAGAAGCCAGTTCTAAAGGGCAAGCCTTTCAGTACATGTTCATGAGGACTCCGTTTTTGGGGGGCATGGGCTGCCCAGCCATAGGGTCCTGGGGCTCAGGGATCTGTACTTCCAGGGACCCTTTTGTACCCAGAGGCACCCCCAACTCCTTTGCCCTTCTAAGCTACTTTCCAGAAGAGGGCTACTAAGTGATTCTAGCACCATAATTGGTAGAGTTCCAAGGCATAGAGGATGATTCTGGGCTCACGGACATCTTCACCTATTCATTCATTAGATCTTTAATGATTCTCTGAGTCTTCTAGGTTGAGTCTCTGCACTCATGAATTTTAAAACTTTTGTACTCATTCTTTTTTGCTTTTTTTTAACCATCCATTGGACTCTGCTTGATATATTTGTATTCATTCTTTTAACTATATTTTACTTACACAATCCATGAATACATCTTTGTTGCAAAACATTCTGTAACCACAACTGCAAACTCTTTATCTTTATAGTCCCACTACCCCTTCTTCTATCAAGGTCCATTTATTTACATCCCAGGGAAGCTGAGTCACCCCTGTTGGCATGGACAGATCCAGGGACTAAGGGAAGAACATACCGATGGAGAAGAGGAAGGGGTCAAAGCCCACAAACCCTCCAGCAGGAATCTCGGCAAGGAGCCAGGTGACAATGGGAACAGTGCCAACTGAAAGAAAGACAGGAAAGAATGCAAAGGTCGCCTCCAGGGCTAGCCCCAGGCCCCCCAGCTGGGGTTCTGGTCTGTGACAATCCTGCCACTTGTGTCCTCCTTGATATCAGCCTTGAAGGTCAGGGGTGGCCTCAAATTCCCCAAGCTTCCCATAGAGGCCCAGCATGGCCTCACACGTGCCCCCTTACCTATACCTTCCTTATGGAGTGCCCAGTTGCAGTCCATTTGCCGCTCAGCCTGAGTCCAGTAGCGACTGTCAGTCCAGACAGCTGCTTTCCCCATGGTCACCACTGCAGTTCCTGGGGTGGAACAGAGAAGCTTGGAAGTCGTGGCAAAGGGGAGGAACACATCTTTAGTTGGGGGATGCTGGCTCTGAGAGTGTCACAAGGGGCCTCTGGAGAGAGTTTGTCTCCTCCATTGGATGGAAGTGAGGCAGGAGATGTGAAAAAGAACCTTGGTGGTGGTGGTGGGGAGGTGACCAGGCAGAAAGGGTGTCCTGAATCAGGTACCCCTGCTTTGGGTGAAGGGCCTCTTGAGGGGATCATTGGAACTTTCTGCAAGAGAGGAAGTGGAAACTGCTTTTGGCAGCCCAAAAGCATGTGGGTGCTCTCAGGAAAGATGGGACTCAGTGTTACGCCTCGGTGGCTGGTGGGGACACTAAGTCAGAGGCCTAGCTAAAGGTTGGTGGGGAAGACAAATCCAGCGACCCTGGCAAAGAGAAGAAGGGCCCGTGATGGACACAGCAATGCAGTTTGAAGCCCACAGCGGAACGTCTGAGGACCAGCAAAAGAAGCTTGGGTTTTAATCAAGGGGCCAGGATCGGGGTAGCAGTCCTCTTCAGAAACTGTGACCTCATAAAGGGCCTCTGTGTTTGTGTCTCATTTGGCCACGAGAAGGGATGTTTTCTGTAAAAGGATTGGCAAGTACAACTTTGTCCCCACTTGAACCATCATGTGAAGGGAATCCACTGGCCCTTAGTGGCTAGATATGGAAGTGGCGACTATCTCAGGAATGGGGCCCTGGGAGTGCTGGGCTGAGGCTGGCTACAGCAGAGGTGGTGAGCATGGGAAGGAAGCTGGGGACGGGGTCATCTGCCTAGCTTCTGCACATAAATGTGGCCAGTGAGCTATGAAATGTATGTCCTGAGGAACCTGGTGGTTTTGGGGTGGTGGAGGGGAGGCAGTGAGAGAGAGTAGACGGGGGGCCTTTGGACACTAGATTCTGGGGTCCCAGCTGCTGAGGAACTAGCCACACCAGGTCCTCTGTGACCACTTCTGGGTCTACCAACAGAAGCGATGGGGGTGGGTAATGACTGTCACCTGCAGACCCTGTAAAGCCTGTAATCCACGCACGCCTCTCGTCATATTTGCCGACGTACTCGCTCTAGGGAATCAACAATACCATCATTAGCCTTTTTTTGTGGAGTCAGACCCGCATGGAAGGCCCCCAACCACATCCAAGTTCTGTCTGTTAGCTCCAACCAGTCCTACAAGGTCAAGCACATTGGATACCTCTTCCTTTTCCAGGAAGCCCTCTGCAATTCCTCCAGCCCCAGTGTCTTCCCTTCCTTTGAACATCTGCATCTCTTGGAGTCTAAACCCCACCATTCACACTGGATTGTTTTATGGTGAGTTCTGCAGAGGAGACTTGTTGCCCAGAGCAGAATGCAAATTCTTTGCAGTCTAGGGTCCCATCTTTTGGTTTTTTTGAGTTCTCCCCTCCGGCTACCCCTCCCCCAATCCATCTAGCATAGTACACTGGGTACATCATAAATAACTTCTGCAGAGGGTTTGACACACAACCGTATTTTGATTTCCATAAATCCTTGGAGATAAATTTCGTTATTCCCATTTTGCAGAAAACTGAGGCTCGGAGAACTTCAGGTACTTACCCAAGGTTCTTAGCCTTTTCCAGCAGGTGGGAACACTAATAATTCGAACAAGCTCATTGACACCTAAATGGCCTTCTCTTCCAACCGGGCTAGTGTCAGAAAGGTGGATGGGGCGGAAGTGGAGCCAGCGGTGGGGAAAGGTGGAGTGGGTGGATGGGGAGTTGATTTGGGACAAGCAGTTCTTGTCCAGATCATCTTGTTTTCTGTCTGCCCTTCCCCACAACCTGTATACTGCACTCAAATAGCCCAGGGCTCCCAGAGGGCATGGGAAGGCCTGGGCTGGAAGGAAACTTAGAATTCTTCCAGTTCAATTTCAAGCACACTTCTAACCTTCTAGGGCAGGGATGCCCTAAACATTCATTCTGGACTTGCCATCTAGGAACTGATCGAAATTGATTCTGAAGTTGTTTATAGTTTTACTTCTTGAGGTCAATGTCTTCCCTCCTATGTAAAGGGACACATTCTTTCAGTTGCCTTAAAATGACCGTGCCCAAGCTCTCCACTTCCTTCCCTTTGCCTGTCAAATACTTTCTCCGTCTTGGTCTTCTGAGTCTTAACAGCTCCTGTGCTCATAGGTCAACCCAGGATAGTGAAAAGGGTAAGGGGGAGCTGAACTGTCTCTCACCATGTGGGCGTCCGTGTCAGGGATGATGTAGGCGGAAAGATTCTGAGTCTGCATCTGCTGGCGTAGAGCTTTGAGCCGCGCTGTGGTATTGACCACAGTAACTGGAAGGTACTGACAGATGACAGAAAGACACCGAGACACACACAAACAGACACACACACTGCTTAGAGAAAATGACACCTGGGCCCCTAGCCTACAGAGGAGCCACCAGCCTCTCCTGACCCGAGGTTGGGGGAAGTTTTAGGCTGGCCTGGGTGGGCTGATGTTACTGGTTAGTCTCGTGGAGACCGAGGTGTTGAAGAGCTTGGAGAGGGATCCCTTGGGACAGTAACAGGGCCTGAGTCTAGGATGGGGGTGTGGGTGAGAATTACAGGGGTCTAGGCTCTGGCACTGGGCCAGTCCACTGGTGGTCCTTCTTTGGATACCTTGGGGTAGGGTTCATAGATTCACAAATAAAAATACAAGATGCCCACCTAATTACATTGGAATTTCAAATAAACAATGAATAATGTTTTAATATAAGCATGCCCTATGCATTATTTGGGGCATACTTGTACTAAACTATTATTTATTATCTAAAGCTCAAATGTAACTAGGTGGGCATCCTGAATTTTATCTGGCAAGCCTACTTGGGGCCTTTCCAGGTTGCCACCTACTGGCCCCAAATGGCAAAGGAGAGTGAATGGGTAACCCCACCAATTTGAGACTTGCCAGGCCAGATATTTCTTTAAAGGCCGCTTCATCTTTAAAACAAGAAGCATGTTTTTTGTTTGGTTTGCTTTGTTTTCTACTCAATGATATATCCACTTTAAAAAAAAAAAAATATATATATATATATAAAACAGTAATGTGGCATGTGGTTCGCCCATCACCTGCCTGCCCCAGGGGTCCCATAAAGTTAGCATTACTGGCAGATGTACTATGTTTCTCCTGTGGCTCAGGTAGCCGCTGGCATGGCCACCCCTGCCTGGAGAAGATCTTTAGCCCCACTCTGCTTGTGGAAAGAATCACTCTGGGCTCCAGCTAGGAAACTGACTGCCCGATCCCCTCAGTTCCAGTCTTCCAGGTCTTCTTCACACCCTAGACTTCCCTCCTCAGCCCTTCTGTTGGCTCTTCTAACCCCTGTCTTCCTCCCTCCGCCCTTCTGTGCTTCCCTCTTCGTTGTTGTTCTAGAATTTGCCTTTTCTTTCCTCCCATCCTCCACCTCCTCCCCTCTGCCTAGCTTCAGCCAAAGGCCAATTTGGGGCCTCCCGCCCTCCTCCCTGCCCCTCCTCCCTCTCCCTAGTGGGGCTTCCCAGGCCCAGGCCAGAGCAGAAGCAGAGCAGAACCTGCTGTGGGAAAGAGTGGGAGGGAGGAGAGGGCACGGTGTAAGGGGGGGGGTGGGAGGAAGGTGTTTGTTAGATACCTGAGAACTTGCTGCTTTCCCTCCCTGATGTCTTTTTTTTAAAGGCATAGTCTCACTCTGTCGCCCAGGCTCAAGTGACCCTCCTGTCTCAGCCTCTGGAGACTACAACAGGCGTGCTACCATGTCCGGCTGATTTTTTTATTTTTATGTTTTGCAGAGATGGGGGTCCTGCTATGTTGCCCAGGCTGGTCTTGAACCCCTGGGCTCAAGCAATCCACCCTCCTTGGCCTCCCAAAATGTTGAGATTATAGGCATGAACCACCATGCCTGACCCCTGTCAGAAGTTAATAATAAGAAGGGGCCCCAAAGTCTAGAAATAAGGAGAAAGTCTGGTAGGGAGAAGAGCTACCAATTTAGCCAACAGGGGATGGAGAGGACATTGGGAGAGGGGCGTTTGGGGGTGGGGTGGACAGGGGAGAAGTGGGATGGATAGGGGAGGGGGTGGGACCTGAGAGTAGGGTCTCACAGTGGTGGAGGTGGGGGGATGAGGGGGCGGAGTGGGGGAGTGAGGAGTGGGACCTGAGGGAAAGGGGGAACAAAAGGGAGGAGCAAGGCCTCCCAGTGGGGGTGATGGGGGAAAGGGAGGGGAGCTCTCACCGGGGGGTTGGTGGAACAGTTTCTCACATCTTCTTTTCCAAGGTTCACTGGTTTTGGGTGGCCCCAGGCACAAACTAGAAGGTGGGAGAAAAATCCAGGGTAATGTGGGGACCAGCTAGATCCTGGAGAAGGCAGGGACATCCTCCTTCTGCCTTCCTCCCTGCTGTCTGCAGAGCCTCCACCCTTTGAAACACACGATGCTGGCCAACTCTACTTGAGGATAAAAATAATCACATTTCATAGGAAATCAGGCTGAATTGGATGGCACCCTGGGTCACAATCAAAGAAACCTGTTTCATAGACAAATGATTGCCACTTTTGGATGGGTTTTAGTGCTCATTAAATCAATTTTTTCTTCTAATCTAATTGGGTCTTTTCAGGGTCTAGTGAAGTGGAAAAGTTGTGTGTAAATTAAATTTTCGTGATCAAATTTTCTTTGAAATGCTCTAGAGGATCTCACTAAATAATCACCCCATCTTTGTTTTAGCCTTCTATAAATCTAATTTTATATATATTGGGTTTACTTAAATTCAAGGCCTACTTGTACCCTTTCTTTCAATCCAAATCTCTACCTATCATTCCAGGCTCATTTTCAATAGACAAGACAGCAATCCCCGTCTGACCTCATTGCCTGGTGGGGAAGGGTGGATTAATTAGTATTTAAAGAGTTCCCACTATGTGCCTGATACTGAAGTCAGCAAATCATCCATAGGATCTCATTTGATACTTGCAACAACCCTGTGAGGTGGGTATTACTGCTGGCTTTCTACAAAGGAGGAAGCCAAGGCCCAGATAAGTTTGGTAACTTTCCCAAGTCTTACCACCTTGAGTTAGTGGTACGACAGGTATTTGAACCCAGGTCATATGAATATAAAAGGGGGAGTGCTCCTTCTGTCCTCCTATACTGCCAACTATGGGAGGTAGACTTGGAAAGAGTGGTGGGTGCCACAGAAGGTTCTGAGTATACAGAGACCTAGTTTCTGATTTTGGATCTGCCCCAAATTTGGTGTAACTTGAGGAGAGTGACCCAGTGTTCATTGAACAAACATTTCCTAAGTGCCTACTGTGAGCCAGCCACTGGACTAAGTCCTCTGGGCTCTGGGCCTCTGGAAAAGAGAAGGTTGGATTAAAGTCTCTTCCAGTCCTGAGAGTCAGTGGTCTCTGATATTCCTTGCCTCCAATTCCCCTGCCTTTTGGCGGGGGGAGGGGGGTTCCCTGGAGGGTGATGGGGGCCTGAATATGGGGAGACATTACACTTTTCCCTTTTGAGTGGGGTTGAGTGACAGATGGAAGGAGGGTGGCTGAGTTCTTACACCAGGAATTCCCTGCCTGGCTTTGTCTTGGTCTCATAGACTTAAGGGGAAGCTGTGACCCATACTATTGATTTAAGGATATGAACATTCATTTCTGTAGGAACAGATCTCTGACAAAATGGTGGTGCTAAGATGCCAACATAAGAAGCAGGACAAAGTCAACTCATCTCCCTCTGGACACCAGAATCTGCTCTTCTCTGAGGCCAGGGCTATGGCTCCCAAAAGCAGGCTCTGTAGCCAAATGACTCCATGGTCCTAGACACTGAGTGACTTATAGGGTCCTACTGAGAAGGGAGGCTGGGGTGGGGGCATGAGCTGGCACCTAGTTGAGAACAAACAGGGATGCCATAGGAGTGACAAAAGACTGTCTCCCTGAACAAACTTTTTTTTTTTTTTTTGAGTTGGAGTCTAACTCCATCGCCCAGACTGGAGTGCAGTGGCTGTTCCTGGCCACCACAGCCTCGACCTGCTGGGCTCTGCCAATCCTTCCGCCTCCGCCTTCCAAGTAGCTGGAACTAGGCACGCACTACCACACCCGGCTAATTTTTTGATTTATTGTAGAGATGAGGTCTCATCAAGTTGCCCAGGCGGGTCTCAAACCCGCGGGCTCAGGCAATCCACTCACCTCGGCCTCCCAAGGCACAGGATTACAGGCTGAGCCACTGAGCCTGGCTGAACAAACTTTTGTGTGTGTGTGTGTGTGTGTGAGAGTTGGAGTCTCACTGGTCGCCCAGGCTTGAATGCAGTGGCACGCTCATGGCCACCCCAGTGTCAACTTGCTAGACTCCAGTCATCTTTCTGCCTCAGCCTTCCATGTAACTGGAACTAAAGGCGAGTGCTACCACGCCAGGCTGATTTTTTATTTATTGTAGAGATGAGGTCTTGCCAAGTTGCCTGGATTGGTCTCCAACCTGCAGGCTTAGGCAATCCACTCGACTCTGCCTCCCAAAGTGCTGGGATTACAGGCTGAACCACCGAGCCCGGCCCCTGAACAAATCCTTTTCTCAACTAGGCCTTGACCTAGGCCTTCTCTGTCCATCCTGTCCTTGCCAAACCTGCATCACCCAGTCTTAGCAAGAATCAAAGTTGAGGCCTATCTCTCTCCCCTGTTGCCATGCCCCATTACAGTAGTCTTGAATCAGGCTTTCCTTACCATTCTAACAAGTGCCAGAGTATTTTTTCTTTATTTTATCTTCTCTTTTGTGGGGTCTCACTCTGTCACCCAAGTTGGAGTGTGGTGGCACGATCACGGCTCACGGGAGCCTTGACGTTCTGGGCTCAGGTGATCCTTCTGTCTCAGCCTCCCAAGTAGCTGAGTCTACAGGCACACATCACCACGCCTGGCTAATTTTTTTTTGTAGAGACAGGGTCTCATTATGTTGCCCAGGCTGGCCTTGAACCCCTAGGTTTAAGTGAATCTCCTACCTCAGCTTCCCAAAGTGTTGGGATTACAGGTGTGAGCCCCTGTAGCTGGCGTGATTTTTTCTTGAACGAGGGTGGGTGGTTGGGGGAATGAAAAGGGAAAGAGTCCTAAAGATTGGTCCTGGGTGCCTCTTCCAAAAGGGGGACGGCCCCAGCCCTCACTCCAACCTTTTTTGAGCCCAGAGGGGAGAGGCCAGGATGCACATACCACAGAGGAGGACCAGCCAGGGGCAGCAGCCCCAGTGAGCCGGTGCCATGGGGTCTCCAGATGCTGGTGCTGGGTGGATGGAGGGATGAGGGAGAGAAGGAGCGCTGTTTCTCTGGCCTCTTCTTTCAGTCCCTCCTGGGGCAGGAGCAGGGGCTGGCGATGAGAAGGAGGTGTCTGGCTGGTGGATGCAGAGTGCCTCTCTCTTCTTTTGTTTCAGAGGGCTCTGGGAGCCAGCGTGGGCAGAGGAGCCTTGGGCTCCCCCAGGCAGACTGTGCAGGCTCCTAGTCACCTAGAATAGGGTGTGTGCCCGCCCCGGGCAGAGTCCAAAGATCTCTGAGACAGAGGTGCAACAGCTGGTCTCAATTAGCCTGCTTTTCCCAGCCCCCTCTTCAGCAGCCTTGCCCCAGCCATTCCCAAATTCTGTCCCCCTCCCTCCAGCAAGCTGTTTCCCATTCGTTGCCACCCCAGACTCTGACCAAAGCTTTGCTATTGCCTTGGGGATGGAAGGGTTGGATATTTACTGCCCCCTACCATTCTTCCTCCTCCTCCTCCTCCTCCTCCTCAGCGCTGGCCTGTCTCAGAAAAAGCCAGTGTCCTCTCTCTGTAGTGCCTGCCCCACTGTCCCCCTAGGGGAGGCCAGTTGTAGCTGGAATGTTACTTTCCTGAGCTTGGATGAGTCCCTTCAAGGGAGTCCACCCTGTCAAAATGCTGCCAGCTCTGCCAGCTCTTCCCTTGTGACCCTGGAAAGCCCACTCAGCTGCACATCCTGAATCTATACTCTGGGAAACCAATCTGTTAGGGCCATTCACACCTGGGAGCAAATGAAGGCCCAACGATGCTCCTATTTGGAGGGCTCAGGGGGTAACACAGAAGAGGAAGGACACCCAGAAAGGGAGTTTGGGTGCTCTGAAAAGACAAATGTGGTTAACTGGAAATGCCCTTTCTGCCATAGCTTCTAGAACAGGGATTTGATTATCCGGAAGTGCAGGTCACTCACTCCTAAGCAGCGTGACTCTCTTTGATGGAAGTGGGGACACCGAGGCCAGCCTTGTCTCCACACCCAGGCAAGTCAGAGGGCAGCATGCCACATCAGTGCCAAGCCTGTAAATGCTTTCTTGAACTCTTGCTGTTTGGGCTGGAGGAAGGCGACGTCTCAGAGAGAAATGCTTCCAGGAGCCAAATGGCCCCCAATGGATGCATGCTCACCTAGCCTGGAGGGCCGCAGAGGCAACCCGCCCATTCCTTTTGATTTTAGTTTTCATGTGTTTTCACTCTGTTTATGTCCACAAGTCTCAAGCAGCTTTCTAGAATCTAGTCATGAGTGATAAAACGGGCCATTTTGAAGAGGAAAAAGGGAGCCTCATGGGACTCAGAAGGGGGTGGAGTCAAAATAGGCAAGGAGACTCAGGGAACTCCATTCTCAGGAATAAAAGCAGAGGACAGAAGCCCACACACAGCCTTGGAGGACACAGCAGGGAAGAGGATGGCAAGAATGAGATGTCATTTCTATGACTGCTGAAGCTCCTGCTGCCTTTCTCCAGGCCCTGCTCTCCCACCCCTTCTAGAACTGGTAATGAAGTTATTTCCAGAGCCCAGAGGGCTGGGAACTGCCCCTTCCAAGGCCCCTGCGTCCTCTGTGTACTGGAGAAGCCATCCCAAGGGACAAGCAGTTAAGGCTGTTGGGATTAGGCAAGGGAGGTCCCCGAAGGTAGCATTTGAGGACAGAGTCCTGCCCCTTCTTCAGCGAGCCTTGAAACACTGGCTTGGGAACCAGTCTGCCTGGGTTTCAATCCCAGCTGTCACCCACTAGCTGTGTGATCTTAGGCAAGTGACTTCACCTCTCTGAGCCTTCAGTTTCCTCATCTGTGAAATGGGTGTAAAGTAAAAATAAAATTCCAAGCCCCTCACCAGCGGAATGGATCCCATTTTAATCAAGGGGACCCCAGCAAAACCTTAAGGACTTAGTTCCTGCCCATGACAGTTGGGAGGTCAGACACATCACATTATAGCCTTTCCCTTTTTTACATTACACACAACTGACCAGTTGTGTGTATTGCCTGGGCAATATAGTGAGACCCCCATCTCTACAAAAAAATAAAGTCTCTTTTTCCAAATGTATGAAGACCTTATATGTTTTCAGTTAGCCTGGGATACTAATAGTGCTAACTTCTTAGTAGTGTGGCGAGGATTAAATGGATTAATATTTTTGATGCTCCCAGAATACTCCTCGAGGAGAGTAAAGAGTAAATGTTATACAAATATTTAACTCAAATACATACTAGAACCGAAGCCAGTCTCATTTGTACCTTGTTCTTTCTGTCTCTGGAACCTAACACTGCTGAAATGGCAGTTAATGTTATGGCAAAGATCAGGTGGGCCGAAGGGCCAACCTTAGAAGTAAACAAACTCAGTAGGGATCCAGCCCCCATCTTCTGGACTCTGCCCAGGGATGGTCCCCACATAGTACTCAGCCTTCTGGTTTCATTCCCCGGGTCCTAGCCTTGGTCCTGGTGGCAAAGATGATTTCACCTGCCTTTATTCTCAGTGCCTCCGCCCTCCTTATCTCAAAATCACTGTCTTTACTCTCATGGGTTCAGAGACTTGAACCCCAGTTGGCAACGGGCCTGAAGTGGAAAAAAAATGATTCAGGATTGGAAAGGTTGAATGGTTAAGAGTCCTTGCATCAAAGTTGTTCAGAAGACCCATGGGTCATTGGAGAGTCTTTCTGTGGCCTGCTCAGGCAGCTGACCAGTGCTTCTTTCACTTTTTGGTTCAAGGCTATCCTCGAGACCAGATTCTGAAATTAAAAGAATTGTTCTTCAGGGTCCCTCCTGTCTATGCCTCTTTTTTTTTTTTTACACCCTGATCCCACCCCAGGCTTGTCACCCTGACTTCTGACCTGGATCTACCCTCTCTGGGTACCAATATCTACCTGGCTTCCATCATAGTGTTCCTACCCAAGCTACAGGCTGGTGTCCTGAACCACAGTTCAGATCACAGTAACAACCCCTGTCATGTGTGTGAATGAGAAAATGCATGCAAAGCCACCAGCCTGCGAGGAATCCTAGCACCAGGACCACGAGTAGCTCTGCTGGGGGTGCCTCTGGGAAGAGTGGAACTTGGAGGGAGGCCAGGAGAAAAGCAGTGAGAACTAGCAGTAGAGATGGCATGGCAGGCAGTGGTCACGGGGAAGGCAGACAGTCTGGAGACCAATTGGTGGCCTGAGGTAACACAGGAGGGCAGCCGCCATGGCCTGGAATAACCCATGACAGTGGGAAAGTCAAAGACCCCAAGGGGCTGTGAGCACTGCAGAGAATCTCCTGGGGCTATTTCAAGATACTGAGGATGAAACCCCAAAAGGAAATCCGAGGTTCTGCCATTCTGCACTGGCAAGGGGACTTTTGAACTAGCTCACGTCAGGTCTAACTGTTGATGTGACCTCAGAGGTTGAGATCCTGGAGACCCTTGGCCTTGTGGACACAGCATGTGACTGCTGCTTCCAAAGTCCCTTCACATGCTCCATCGGGTGCCACCATCCCATGCTGGGAGACAGGCCAAGTCCTCACTGACAGGAGAGGAGACAAACTTGGAGAAGAGTAGCCTTACTCAGGTTGAAGAGACTTGTGGCAGAGCTGAGACACAACCGTCGGTCCGGGATACTTCAGAACCTGTGCTCTGTCCATTGAACCTCACCGTCACCCTCGTCTGAAATCCCTTTATGACTCCCACTTCCTTCAGGATCTATTCTAATTCAACCTCTTTAGCCCAGCGGCCAAGGCCATCCTCCCTGACATGTGCCATCTTTTGTCTACATTTCCTCCCTCCATCAATGTCCAACTCCAAAGTCACCTCATCCACCAAGCGCTGGACACCTCAAATTCATCCCTCCATCCTGGGGACTCTCGTACCTTTTTATTTGAGCTCTTTTCTTTTGTAAAATATTATTTGTATGAATGTACGGAGCACAGGTATAATTCTGTTGCTTGAATATTCTGCGTAGTGGTAAAGTCAGGGCTTTTAGTGTTTCCATCACCCGAATAGCACACATAGCACCCATTTAGCAATTTCTCGTCATCCACCCCATCCCACCCCCACCCTTCTACGTCTCCAATGTCCATCGTTTCACACTCTGCGTCCATGTGTGCATATTACTTAGGTCCCGGGTTCAAAGTCTCACATTCACCTTTTGCTTTCTCAACTCTGTTTCCTTAGACCACCCCTCTGAGGGTGGGAGCTCACTTTTAGAAATGTTTAGATTCACCAAAGCATCCAGGACAAAGCATCCAGCAGAAAATGGGCTCAACACAAGTTTGTGGAGTTGAAGTGAAACCCCAATGGGGTGGTCCAGGCTTCCCATCTCTAACTTGAAGGGATTGCCCTGAATGGGGGCAATTTTCCAGACCCCAGGAGGCTGCTGTGGGTGGTGCTGTCAGGTCCTGTGCTTTGACACAAAGCTACTCTGCCTGTGTGTGTGTGTGTGTGTGTGTGTGTGTGTGTGTGTGTGTGTGTACACGCACACGTGCATGCGTATGTGTGGGGAGTTGTCACAGGGAGGGGGCAAGAGCTTGTTTCATGGAAGCTGATCTTCGGTGCTATGTGGCCCAGAACCTCCCCACCCAGACTACCTGGTGGCAGGGAAGGGAGTTTCTTACCTCAGGGTGAGAGTTGGACATCCCTTTGCTGTGACTGGTGGATATAGTGGTCAGCTTCTTTCCAGAAGCCCCCAACTGCCTACAGCTTCTCCTCCTCCTCCACCACCTTCTCCTCCTCCTCCTCCTCCTTCTCTTCCTGGTGATTATAGTCCAGGAACTTCGTTGGTAAGACCCAGTGGGCCTGGCTGGAGCCCTGTGTGGGACAGCTAGCTTGGCTTACTTCAGTGGTCACAGACTGAGTCAGGCCCTCAGCCCCGGCTGAGTCCAAAGCCCAGCCAGGCATGTCACAAATCTGTGCTGCCCCTTCAGGGGCCTTGCACTGCACAACTATGTGTGACTAGAGCACCCCTGGGGCTCGCTAAGGTTCTAGTCGATTCCACTCAAGCCTCCATTTGGTGGTCTCTGGGCACCCTCACAACCATCTGTCCTCTTCGGGAGCCTAATCTCTTTACTTGTCAGCCACCTTATGCTTCTCTTTTGCCATCTCTCCTCCAGTCACATGCCTTTTTTCAGTCCCTCTTACTGTGTCCCCTCTGGCCTAGGGCCTTTCCTGTTCTTTTCCCTCTGCCTGGAATGCCCGCCCTTCCTTCCTCTCTTTGCTCTGTGAACCATCTCCTCTTCCAGTCTCACCTCCAGTGTCACTTGGTCTGG